ATGACTATATTAACCTCATTTAAGCCTCACAGCAACTCTTTTAAAGCTCCTGATCTTACTGGTTCTGCACTCTAGCTTCCAGATTCAGGAAACTACTTTGAAAAATCACAGATATTTATTGTTCCAGAGATATTAAACAAGTATAACCCAGAGACTCTCTGCAAATACCAAAAGAAAAGAATTTAAATATCTTAGTACCTTAAAAAAATGAAATCACTAGTTAAATAAATTTGCAGAAGGAAGCCTGACATATTTCAATTCATTTAATATTCGGCAGAAGAAGGGTACTATTTGATTCCCAAGTGGGAAGAAATTTATAAATACTTGAAAAGAAAACAACCATTATAAGAAAAAAAATTTCAACGAACACTGCTATATAAATTTTAGTCAAATTAGCTCATGGTATATGTAATTAATGTTGAAATATTTTTACTAATAAATTTAAAATATTTTCACTAATACTTTCACAAATATTGAGTGGCTTTCATATAAAAGGCTGTTCATACTTTTTTCAGTGACACCATTGTCTTTGCAAAGTGAATTTTCTAGATGAGGAAATAAGACAAAGTGAAGAGAAATTATTTTCTCATGGTTAAAAGATAAATCATAAGACTACTGGTCATATGGCCTTTTGTTTTATTTTTCCCTGCTTCAGAATTTATTTTTTTCCATTTAGTTTTTGAATTGAAACATAACTGATTATACATATTCATGAGGTACAGAGTTGACTGTTAGTATTTTCGTACAGCATGTGATGATCAATTCAATCTTATTAGCATGTTCATCATTACAAATCATAGTTATTCTTTGTGTCCCTTACCCAATTACACCCTAACCCCTCTCCCCTTCCCCCTTTCCCACCTCTAATAACTATAGTTCTGTTCTCTCCTTCTGAAAATATAATGTTTTATTGTGACTTTCCTTCCTTCATTCATTCTCTCCCTCCCTCTCACTTATGAGTGAGGACATGCGGTATTTCTCTTTCTGTGTGTATAGCCTTTTAGACCAGTTAATTTTAATCATTTAGGAGTGTTTTATAAGATATAGGTTGACAATATAAATTCTAAAGTTTATTAATGATTTCATTTTTGAATGGTTTTCTTTATAATACTACTCTCACTTTCTGGATTCAGATTTGCTGTCCTAAGTGGGGCATAAATGCAGTTGAAGCTGATGCTGGATTCCATGGCGTATGTTATTCTAGTATATGTCATATATGGCACCCTTCTTTCACTTATTCACTTAGTCATTCATTTATTCAAAAATATTTATTAGTGCCTACTAAGTGCCAAGTACTGTTCTAAGTGCTTGGGATACATCACTGAACAAAATGAACAAAAATTTTAGTGCTGGCCATTTAGCTCAGTTGGTTAGAGTGTGGTGCTTATAACACCAAGATCCAGGGTTCGATCCCTGTACCAGCTAGCAAAAGAATAAAAAGCTCTTTTTGCCACATCTACTGCGAGAATGAAGACCATTCTCAGCAATCAGACTGTCGATATTCCAGAAAATGTCGACATCACTCTGAAGGGACACACAGTTATAGTGAAGGGCCCCCAAGGAACCCTGCGGAGGGACTTCAATCACATCGATGTAGAGCTCAGTCTCCTTGGAAAGAAAAAGAAGAGTCTCCAGGTTGACAAATGGTGGGGAAATAGAAAGGAACTGGCTACTGTTCGCACTATCTGTATTCATGTACAGGGCGTGATCAAGGGTGTTACGCTGAGCTTCCAGTACAAGATGAGGTCTGTGTAGGCTCACTTCCCCATCAACATCGTTATTCAGGAGAATGGGTTGAAATCCAGAATTTCTTGGGTGAAAAATACATCCGCAGGGTTCGGATGAGGACAGCTGTTGCTTGTTCACTCCCTCAAGCCCAGAAAGATGAGTTAATCCTTGAAGGAAATGACATTGAACTTGTTTCAAATTCAGCTGCTTTGATCCAGCAAGCCACAACAGATAAAAACAAGGATATCAGAAAATTTTTGGATGGTATTTATGTCTCTGAAAAAGGAACAGTTCGGCAGGATGACGAATAAGAGCTAAGAGTTGTCCAACTACAGAAGCAAGCGACAGGATGATTCCCAAGACATGCTTGTAAATTTTAATGATGGAATAAAGGACCTATTCATTTGGAGGGGGGAAGAAAAAGTAAAGAAAATCATGTAGTTTATATTTTAGCAGGCATTGTTCAAATAATAAACAGCAAACATAAGCAAGTAAGCAAGCATTCACTGTGGTTAGTAGATAAGGAAGAATTCTTCTATGACTGCTCATTTAAACCATTCTAAGGAAAATTACATCAAAAATTACCTGTTTTTCAGCTTGGCTTGGTTTTGTTGATCCTGTTTTAAAATGTTGGCTGAGAACAATAAAATCCTGGGAAATACTCTCTCCAAAAACTGAGTTAAAATAATGCTGTTAATTAAGAAAATGACCATGTTTTGCTCTTACAATAATTTCTTGCTTTTTACAACTTATATTATTATCAATATTGCTGTATAATGTAGTAATTTAGTATCTTGGATATTTTTGATGGTGGTTTATAAAAATCTAAAGTACTTTTTTATTACAAAATTTGTCTCTGTAAACACTTGTGTTATTATTCAAGTTATATTATGTCTTTTGCTAGCTTTCTGAATATTTATGATAATGTTTACAAGTAAAATGTTTCAGCACATCTTTTTATTATTTGTTATTTAAATTATTCTTTTTTAGAAAGCTCTCTTTGCTTTGGTTGTTTATCACAGACGTCTGTCTAAGTTATTTTGCTTTGAAGGGTAAGATAAAAATTTTTAAATATTTTCTATATGTCTATCTTAATAGCTTAGAATTAACTAGGATATAGGTTCCTCTATGTATCTGTTTTGGTTTTTTTTTCCTTTTTGTCTTTTTTCGTGACCGGTAACGGGATCGCAACCCTCGGTGTCACACCTGTACTGCGACCGGCAACGGGATTGCAACCCTCGGTGTCGCACCCGCACCGCGCTCAACCAGTGAGCAGACCGGTCTCTATATGGGATCTGAACCCTAGGCGGGAGCGCTGCCACGCTCCCAAGCGCCGCACTCTACCGAGTGCGCCACCGGGCCAGCCCCTATGTATCTGTTAACCAACTTCTCCCTACAATGATATGATAGTATTGCATATGTTGTCATAAAAAGTATTATTAACTCAAATGTTAATACTTAAATTTTTTGTTGACTTACTGAATTGAATCCATCCCTTAGGCCATCAGAGTTGATTCATTTTTTTGTTTTTTTTAATCAGGAACCTCTAAATGTCTGCATTTTTTCTACATAAGATGAAAAGCAGACCTCAAATGATTAGATCTTTTACCTGAAACATTGAATATACTTTAATTATTCTTATGTTTTTGTGGATAGATATGGATACCTGAGAATTCAAAATTAGAGGAGCAGGGTTTTGACAAGAGTTTTGAGAAAGGAACAGGAGGAACAGTGAATTCAGTAAAAAAAGAGTTCTTGATACTGCATATTCTCACTCATGTGGGAGCTGCAAAAAAGTTGATCTTATAGAGTAGAGAGTAGAATTGTGGTTACTAGAGTTTGGGAAGGTGTATAGAGAGAAATTGGTTCACAGATACAAAATTATTGCTAAACAGGAAAAATAAACTCTAGGAGTTTATAGTAGTACTAGGCATCTATAATTAACAATAATTTATGATATTGTTCTGAAGTGACTAGAAGAGAGGAGCTCAAATGTTCTCATCACAAAGAAGTGATAAATTTTTGTGATGATGAATATGGTGATTATCCTCATTTGATGATCACACATTGTATATATGTATTGAAATATAACTCTGTACCCCATAAATATGTATAATATGTGACAATTAAAAAATAATTAAAACATTTTTCATTTGGGATATTGCTTTTTAATTTAGTTTTCGAGCATTTCTCAATGAGTATAATTCTTTTCATTCGGTGTTTTAGCCAGCATAAACCAGTAACATCAAGGTACCTAGTATAGGAGTAAATGGGAAGGAAGTAGAGTGTTTGTAAGACACTCATTTGAAGAGATTTACTTCTCTTTGAATACCTGGTCGTTTAAAAACAATTGAGATTTGAGGTTCAAAATTAGAAAAATAGTGGCCCTGTGCTCTTATTTTTGAAGCCTTTTCTCCAACTTTTCTAACTAATCTTTTGTTTCATTAGTGGTCAAGTGCCCCTCACACTCGGTCTTACATACAGAGCTATTTCTTATCTTTTCTCTCTTTTCTTTTACAAAAAACTCTGCATCTGGACATATGACTTCTTTTCTATAGCTCTGGAATTGTTAAATGGATTTAAATTTTATCTTTGCCTACAAATTCTCTCTTTGGGCAGAAAATAGTTTTGTTTTCCAAGAGAATTCTAAGGTTAATGATGGAGAAATGATCAATGAAACCTATAACCAAGCCTGGGAAAGCATGTGCATATGTAGTTTTAGATGCACAGTCACTGGGATTTAACTGGTATTAGACTTTTGTTTTAATTGTTGGTATTTTTAATGAATTTGAGCAAGAAATTGAGCCTGATCCATTTGAACCTTTGCTTGTGATGTTTGGAGTGGTTGCCAGCTGGTTAATGGGTGTGGTAACCTTTGCTTGACTAGTATGCATGTCACTTTTATAATTTATCCTAAAAGTGACAGTTTACCTCTCACCTGCAGAGTTAAACAGTATAATGGCAGCTGAACAGTGAGATGGAAGGGGATGGAGTAGAGAACTTGTAGAAATGAATTTACTTATACAGAGAACATGTTTCTGTTTGAGATAATGAACACATTAGCCCAAAATACATAGTTGAATACATTTTGTTTTTGCCTGATTATTCAAAGATACAATGTTTTAGTCACCATATATGATCTATTTACAATAACATAGGAAGGAAAAGTGATGATGGAAACACCAATGTGTTTCCTTTAATTCCGTGAATCTTCAGCATATGCTATTTTACATATCCTAAAAATTTAAATACATTTCTTACTCTTTCCACAGCATGTAAAGTCTATGAAGCACAGGACAATAAAACTTCTACTCATATCACCAGAAGGATTCCTTTCAAAGATTCACCACAGGACAACCAGAGAGACTAATTTGTCTGAAGCACCATGTGTTGAAACAGCAGAAGTCTATTCACCTGTGCACTAACTAGAAACAGTTACCATGTTTTCAATTCTTTGAGCTCCAGGAAGCCAGGGGAGTGAGTTGAAAATCTGAAAATGCGGCCATGGACTGGTTCCTGGCGTTGGATTATGCTCATTCTTTTTGCTTGGGGGACTTTGCTATTTTACATAGGTGGTCATTTGGTACGAGATAATGACCACCCTGATCACTCTAGCAGAGAACTCTCCAAGATTCTGGCAAAGCTTGAACGCTTAAAACAACAGAATGAAGATTTGAGGCGAATGGCTGAATCTCTCCGGTAGGTTCTAAAATACTGAAGGAAGAATGATGAAATATTGTATTTATTTTAAGCTGTAGGGCTTCATTCAGCTATTGAAAAATAGTTAATTTCTAGAAACTGCTGTCTTTGCAAAAATTTAGATATCTTAGGGTATTTTTTTATACCAATGGCATCTCTATATATTTAATATAGAGAATTTCTCCATAGTGGCAAACCTTATTTTATATATGAATTTTAATATAGAAAAATTATGCCATTAGGCACTTATATTTTATTTACAGTTATCTTCAGCATCTTGACAATTTGATGTATTAAATCCAAAATTTGAATGATTTAAATTAGTATATATTAAAAATTTTATCATATGAACTATAACAAAGACATTAAAGTGATTGGGAGGCTAGGTCAGTCTAACTGCAAACTATTAAAATGAAGAAAATATTTATCATTAAATAAAACAACTGGATCTGGAAGTTGGAGAATTATTATCATTCTTATTATTATTATCATTTGTTTGGAAAACCAAAGTCTCCTATTTTCAGAGAGCAAGTAAACATTGTGTTACATAGGAGATCTCTATATGTTTTTCAAAGTTATTGAGTTTAAAAGTTATCTAGAATCTTCTAATTCCTTTAATTTATAAATGAAGATGACCATGTATTTAGTGTTTTCTGTCTCTCAAGATAGAGGTTGAGGCTAGAAACGAAGATGACCTTCACCCTTTCTTTAGAACTCAATCTTTCCCTTTGCCTAGGTCTGTACTTTTTTCTTCACCATAATAATATTTTGGGGTTTTTTTTTTTTTTATGTCTGATGGAAGGCAATGCTAAGTGTTAGGAGTTTTACAAATATGAATGAAACATCATCCCTATCATTTGTAGTAGTAGTGTCATTCAGCAAGGTGGTAAATGGTCAGTGACTTGAAAGTAGATAACTTCTTGAATTTGTGTATCATTTTATTTCCTGCCGGAGGGTAATTAGGGAGCATCATGAAGGAGGTGATCTTTCAGTAGAGTCTTATTCAGTCATGCTTTATGAGAACTAAAGACGGATTATTTAGGGATTAGTAATAATAGCTATCATTTATTGAGTTTATTATATACCAGGTACAGTGCCAAGTACTCTGAATAGATAATCTCATTGAATTCCACAATATCTTTATGAGATGCTAGTACTATTTTTATAAGCATGTTACAGATGAAGAATCATAGGGATGTTAACTAATTTAAATTTGCCCAAAGTCACACTTTTCACAAGTGGTAGAGCCTATTTTGAATCCCAGTAAAATGCCTCCAAAGTTTGAGCACTGAGGAGTTAACTATATTGCCTCCATGTGCAGAAAACAGAGAGAAATCCATGAGCCCAAAATTTCAATTAAAAGTCTCAGGTAAGAGATCACCAAGAATAGCTGCCGCTGTAGCTGATAATGAAGTTTGCTTTGATTATAGTAAAATCTTGTTTTACATCATGGGAATTTTGTTCCTTAAAGAATATTTTGCCTCTTAAAATTTAGGCTCACAAACAATTGCTCACTTTTTCCTACTTTCACCTTCAATACTGATACTTCCATTTATTTCTGATTGCCAAGTGTCTTGTTTTTATTGCATGAAGGAAAGCTTGCCTTTAGTATCTGTTGTTTCTAATGCAAAATAATCTTTGGGCCTTTTGTGTCACTTTCTTTATATTCTTACATGTTGAAATTAAATTTTCAATTACTACATTTAAATGTAGAGTCAATTTCTAAGAGCTGAAGCACTAAATAAGTCATGCTGGAATATCATATAAATGCAATCTAAAAACACAGACTAAGCAAATGAGCCCATTTTTATATAAAGACATGTAATTTTAGAAAAATAAATAAGTAGTTATTTTCTCTTATTGGGGAAGAAAACCTCCCTGGGCCCTTCCATTGACTTCACTGGTGGGGCCATTTGTGTTTTATCCAAAGGGATTTTACTTCAGAGCCATTGGCATGAAAAGGAGAGCAATGGAGATGCTACTGGCATTGGGATTTTTTGTCTCCTATTGTAATTCAGCCAACATTTTGTACTTAATTTCGTATGTCTTTTTCTTATTAGAAAATTTATTCATAAGCCAGACCATAAAGGATTAATTCGGATGACTGTAAAACTAGGTCATTTCTTTGAGATAAGGCATATGGTTCGGAATTGGAAAGCAATCCAGAAGCCCGAAACTACAATTTTTTATATTCAGGACAATAATTTTAAAAGTAGTTCATCGACCTTCCAGCTAGAATTTGCGAATTTTGTTGATAGTGCTACAAGTTTAGGAAAATGATTTAAAAATCATTTCTCTAAGGGATGCAAATGTATAAGCTCAGTGTATGGGAAGTTGCTGTGTATTTCTGTGTGTATGTGTAGGTATACATGTATGTGTGTGTATGTGTGTTTAAGTCTGACTTATTGATGAAAAATTTTCATTAAGTAAAATTTACTTGTTTTAGTGTAGAGGTCTATGAGTTTTGGCAAATGCTTAGTCATGTAACCACTACCACAATCAAGTTATAGAAGAATTCCAACTCCTCCCCCAGAATTCTGTTGTGCCCCCTTGTAGTCAAATTCTATCACCACCTCCTTACCCTGACTTATACTGATCTATCATCTATCCCATATTTTTTCCTGTTCCAGAATGTCACATAAATGTAATCATGCAGTGTAAAATAAAGCCTTTTGAGTTTGGCTTTTTAAATTTAGCATAATATATTTGAGATTCATCAGTGTTATTGTACATATGGTTATTGTGCTTATTCTTTTGTATTGCTGAGTAGTATTGTCATTCCTTTTTAATGTTGAATGGTATTCTATTGCATAGATGTATCACAGTTTTGTTTTTCCAAAAAATCCATTCACCAATTGAGGAATGTCAGGTTGTTTCCATTTTTTGGCAATTATGAATAAAGCCGCTCTTAACTTTTGCCCTATAGGTTTTTGTGTGAACACAAGTTTTTATTTCTCTTCAGTAAATACCTAGGAGTGGGAGTGTTGGGTCATATGTTAAGTGCATTTTTAACTGTATAAGAAGCCACCCAAATATTTTCCAGAGTACCTGTATCATTTGAAATTCCGACCAGTGATCCTTGAGAGTTTGACTTGTTCTTATCCTTGCTTGCACTTGTTACCTATGTTTCAGCTGTTCTAATAGATTATATAGTATTATCTTATTAAAGTTTCAATTTGCATTTCTATACTTGGTGATGTTGAGCATTTTTTTAATGTCTTATTTGCTGTTCATTAATCTTCTTTGGTGAGGTATTTATTCAAATCTGCTGTCTATTTTTAAAAATTTAGTTATGTTTTCCTATTTTTGAGTTATTTTTAAAATTGGGGTTACACATAAAATTATACATATATTTAGATGTAACATAATTTAAAATAAAATATTACATTATTTTTATAATGTAATATAATATAAAAGCATAGTGGCTTAAAACAACAACAGTTTATTTGCTCTTGATTTTTCAAATTGGGTTGGCCTTAGCTAGTCTTTTTTTCTAGGTATATATAGGGTCACTCATGTGGCTGAAGTAATCTGGTGGCTCAATTGTGGTTGGGCAGTCCAAGATGACTTCACTCATATTTGGGGATTATTTGGGACCATGAGCTGGTTACTTTCCATGTGTCTTCTCTGGTAGGATGGCCCAGGTTTTTTTCCATGGTAGTGTTCCAAGCAGGCAATAGCAGGAATTGCAAGGCCTCTTGAGGCTGAGGATCAGAACTAGCGCAGTGTAGCCTCTGCCACATTCTGTTGGTCAGTGCAAGTCGAAAGGCCACTCTCCACTCTGTATTCAAAGATGGAAGAAATAGACCTCACCTCTTGGTTGGAGGAACTACAAAGAGTTTGTAGCCATATTTAACCTACCATTCTTACCTCCAGAATAAGTTTGGATAGCGGGATTAAGTCAAATCATGATGTTCTTAAACAGCCAGTGTTTAGTTTAGACCTGATTGATAGATATTAGGGAGTCATAGTCACTTTTCAACAGAAGAATGACTCTGAAAATGTTTGAGGAAAATTTAGGTTTTCAGATGGATTTGGGATACATGCCAGACTGGAATTAAGAGATTACCTGGAAAACTTTAAAAATATTAATTTAGACCTGAGGTGATAGAGAGGTAGACTAAAATTAAGGATTGAATATGTTGGCTTTGGTACTTAGGTTTCTTATATGCTTATATTTGTCTTTTCCCAGACATCTCTTTCATACTTGTTAATTGCTAGCACATTAGGTACACATATACAGGGTTGAGTAACCCTTATATGAAATGCTTTTGATGTTGGAATATTTGCAGAATATATACTGGTTGAGCATCCCTAATGTGAAAATACAAAATCTGAAATGTTCCAATGAGCATTACCTTTGAGTGTCATGTTGGCACTCAAAAAGTTTCTGATTTGGGGGCATTTCAGACTTGCCTCTCAGAGTTGAAATTTACTGAAAAACACCTGGAAATTATTGAAGTTTGTACAGAAAGTCCTTAAGCAGTGAATCTCAAACTAGATGGGTGTCAGAATCTCACAGAGTTGTAAAGTCTGCAGAATGCTTGACAGTTTTCCTCTTAACTTAAATCCTTGTTATTCTAGGAACATTTATTTTTGAGAACATAACTTAAAAAATTTCAAATGTGACTTTGTGGCCCATTAATAAGATTATTTATTTATTTATTTATTTATTTATTGCTTGTTTGTTTGGTCCAGGAAAGCATAAGAGATTTCTTCTGGAATTTAGATGATAGCTGTAAAACTGTAAATTTACAAACCACAAAGAATATATAATTAACTTATCTGGGCAGATTACACAATCTACCCAGATGTATTGCAGCCAAAGCATGAATCTTCTGGTGGAAAAAATTGTCCCAAGCAACAGAGTTATGGAATAATGAGGTAGAAAGCAAACTGATGTGTTTCTTCACAGGTCATATCTGTTTTCTGTTTGAGAAGATTGTATTAGAAATTGGGAGAAGCCTTTGTTCTAGTTGGTTGGTTGGAAGATTTGCTCT